CCAACCACCACCATGGAGAAGTGCGCTGGGCCCCAGTAGGCGGGGGCTCTACACCCATGCTTGTGACCCACAGACTTATAGCAGCTCACAACAGAGAGAACCGTGCTCACAGAAAAGTTGTCACAGATTAAAGGAGCAGTTCATTCAGCAGTCCAACTAGTGTTGAAAACACCAGGAATTAAAACCAGGGCATCCCGCAGCTGTGAGAAGGGTGGGTCACACCAACAGAGGTGAACACCCTTCTACATACAGATATTCAGAGGAGAGCTACAAAGCCCCACAGGGGCCTTACCTTGGATACTTGCTCTGACCTGGAATACTGAACACAGCAACCAGGCCACACCCACCACACTTCTCCTGGTGCTTACTGAAAGTATAAACATCTCACTAAGCCACATAAATGCCAAAAAAACAAAGGAAGAAACTTAAATAAGAATAAGGAAGATACTAAGAACTCCCCAAAGGAACTCTACAACACTTCAAAGAGGGTGAAGATGAAGATATGCCAGAAACTGAATTCAGAAAATTAATCATCAGATAACTTAGAAGCAATCAAAAGTAAATTCACAAACTAAATGAAAATTTTTCCCATGAAATTGAAATATTAAAGAGAAATCAGAGGGGCCTGTACTGTGGCGCATTAGGTTAATCCTCTGCCTGAGGTGCCAGCATCCCATATGGGCACCAGGTTCTAGTCCCGGTTGCTCCTCTTCCAATCCAGCTCTCTGCTGTGGCCTGGGAGGGTGGTAAAGGATGGCCCAAGTCTTTGGGCCTCTGCACCCACTTGAGAGACCAGGAGGAAACTCCTGGCTCCTGGTTTCAGATCAGTGTAGCTCTGGCCACTGGGGCCATTTGGAGAGTAAACCAACGGAGGGAGGGCCTTTCTCTCTCCTTCACACTGTCTGTAAACTCTACCTATCAAATAAAAAATTAAAAAAAAAAAACAGAAATCACCATTTCTCATAGTGTTCATTTCACTTTAACAGGTTTCCTTTTTGGTGCTCAGTTAGTTGTCACCTATCAGGGAGAACAAGTGGTATTTGTCCCTTTGGGATTGGCTTATTTCACTCAGCATAATGTTTTCCAAATTTCTGACAGGGATCACTTTTCAGTTAAAATTTAAACACCTAAGAATAATTGTGTGATAATTACAGAGTTCAACCAATGGTACTAGAACCAAAAAAAAAATATTTAAATGGATAAAGTATTACATTGTACATCAACCGTCAGGACAAGAGCTGATCAAGTCACTGTTTCTCATAGTGTCCATTTCACTTCAAAAAGTTTCCCCTTTGGTGCTCAGTTAGTTGTCGCCAATCAGGGAGAACATATGATATTTGTCCCTTTGGGACTGGCTTAATTCACTCAGCATGATGTTTTCCAAATTCCTCCATCTTGTTGCAAGTGACTGGGTTTCGTTGTTTTTGACATATGTTATCCCTCTTAGTATTTTTTTTGTTTGTTCTACTTAATACTTTTGGTTGAATACTGTAATCAATACACAATTCTTCTTAAGTGCTGAAACTTAACTGAAAAGTGATCGCTGTTAAATATAAGAGTGGGAATAAGAGAGGGAAGAGATGTGCAATTCGGGACATGCTCAAGCTGACTTACCTCAAACGGTAGAGTTAGAAACATACCAGGGGATTCCAATTCAATCTCATCAAGGTGGCATGCACCAATGCCATCTCACTAGTCCCAGTGATCAATTTCTGTTCACAATTGATCGTAATGATATGACTAAGAACCAAAGGGATCACATAAACAAGAACAGTGTCTGCAAATACTAGTTGATAGAATAAAAAAGGGAGAGAACGATCCAACATGGGAAGTGAGATACACAGCAGACCCATAGAATGGCAGATGTCCTAAACAGCACTCTGGCCTCAGAATCAGCCCTTAAGGCATGCGGATCCGGCTGAAAAGCCCATGAGAGTATTTCAGGCATGGAAAGCCAAGACACTCTGGGGAGAAAAAAAAAAAAACCTAAATGAAAGATCTCCGCAAGTGAGATCCCAGTGGAAAGAACAGGTCATCAAAGAAGGAGGTACCTTTCTCTGAAGGGAGGAGAGAACTTCCACTTTGACCATGGCTGGCCTTGCCTAAATATGATAAGAGTCGGTGAACTCAGAGGGCTTCCATAGCCTTGGCAGCTCATGACAAGAGCCTCGGGTGATTACTGAGGCCATAAACAAGAGTGTCAATTTGTTAAGTCAACAACAGGAGTCACTGTGCACTTACTCTTCATGCAGGATCTTTGTCCTTAGTGTGCTGTACATTGAGATTTAATGCTATAACTAGTACTCAAACAGTATTTTTCACTTTATGTTTCTGTGTGGGAGCAAACTGTTGAAATCTTTACTTAATGTATGCTAAACTGATCTTCTGTATATAAAGAGAATCAAAAATGAATCACGATGTTAATGGAAGGGGAGAGGGAGTGGGAAAGGGGAGGGTTGCAAGTGGGAGGGACGTTATGGGGGGGAAGCCATTGTAATCCATAAGCTGTACTTTGGAAATTTATATTCATTAAATAAAAGTTAAAAAAAAAAAACAGAAATCAGAATGAAATGCTAGAAATGAAGAACTCTATAGATCAAATTAAAAACACAGTGGAAAATATTAATAATAGAGTATGTGAAACAGAAGAAAGAATATCAGAACTAGAAAACAAATGTCTGGAACTTATACAGTCAGACCAAAAAATAAAAATAAAAAGAAACTAGAAAACTAAAAAACACTGTTGGAGTTCTATAAGATACTATCAATCAACCCAACATATGGGTGCTAGGAGTTCCTGACGGTGTGGAAAGAGACAAAGGATTTGAAGGCCTTTTTAATGAAATAATAACAGAAAACTTCCCCAATTTGGGAAAAGACAGGGACATCCAAGTACATGAAACACACAGAACTACCATTAGACATGACCAAAAAAAGACCTTCACCATGACACATTGTAGTAAAACTCTCCACAATAAAACATAAAGAAAAGATTCTAAAATGTGCATGAGAAATGCCTGATCACATTCAGAGGAACCCCAATTAGACTCACAGCAGACTTCTCATCAGAAACCCTACAGGCTGGGAGAGAATGGTGAGATATATTCCAAGTCCTTAGAGAAAAAAATTGTCAACCCAGAATACTGTATCAGGCAAAGCTCTCATTTATGAATGAAGATGAAATAAAGATCTTCCATAGCAAACAAAAATTGAAAGAATTTTTAACTACTTGTATAGCCCTACAAGATGCTCAGAGATGTGCTACACACAGAAAAACAGAAAATGGAACATCACTACAAAAGAAGGTGAAGGCAGAAAACAGCCCAGTAAAAGTACAATGAAATCTCAAAGTAAAAAATAGAACTAACAGAAATACAGCAGGGCCTAGTTGTTACTTAACAATAGTTACCCTGAATGTAAGTGGTCTCAACTCACCAGTTAAAAGACACAGACTGGCTGAATGGATTAAAAAAGAAAACCCATCTATTTGCTCCCTACAAGAAACACATCTTACCAACAAAGATACATGCAGACTGAAAGCAAAAGGATGGAAAAAGATAATCCATGCTACCAGAAACAAAAAAAGAGATGGTATAGCCATTCTAATAGCACACAAACTATACTTTAGCACAAAAACTATTATTAAGAGAGACAAAGAAGGGCACTGCATAATGATTAAGAGATCAATTCAAAAGGAAGATGTGACTATTATAAACATATATGTACCTAATTACAGGGCACCTGGCTATACAAAAGGGAGAGAAATACAATAGTAATGAGGGATTTCAATACTCCACTTTCAGCAATGGACAGATCAACCACACAGAAAATCAGCAAGGAAACAGAAGTGTTAATCAACACTAGAGACCAAATGGACCTAGCAGATATCTACAGAGCTTTCCACCCTACAGCCAAAGAATACACATTCTTCTCACCAGCGCATGGACCTTTGTCTAGGATTGACCGACCACATGCAGGGTCATAAAGCAAGTTTCAGCAAATTCAAAATATCGAGATCATACCATGCATATTCTCTGACCACAGTGGAATGAAGCTGATAATCAACAACTCAGGAATCCCCAGATCATATACAAACACATGGAGACTGAACAACATGCTCCTGAATGAACAGTGGGTGAAAAAGAACAATCAGCAGAGTGAAGAGGTAACCAAGAGAATAGGAGAAAATACTTGCAAATTACACAACTGATAAAGGTGTAATAACCAGAATATATAAAGAGATCAAGAAACTCAACAACAACAAAACAAACAATCCAGTTACGAAATGGGCAAAGGACTTGAACAGACATTTTTCAAAAAGAAGAAATCCAAATGGCCAGCAGACACATGAAAAAATGTTCAGGGTAACTAGCTGTCAGGGAAATGCAAATCAAAACCACAATGAGGTTTCACCTCACCCCAGATAGTATGGCTCTCATACAGAAATCAACAAACAACAAATGCTGGTGAGGATGTGGGGAAAAAGGTACCCTTACCCATTGTTGGTTGGAATGTAAGCTGGTAAAGCCACTATGGAACAGTATGGAGATACTTCAGAAACTTGAATATATACCTACCGTATGACCCAGCCATCCAACTCCAGGGAATCTACCCAGGGGAAATGAAATCAGCATATGAAAGAGCTTTCGGTACCTAAATGTTTATTGCAGCTCAATTCACAATAGCAAAGACATGGAATCAACCCAAATGTCCATCAACTGAAGACATGTAATAATGGTATAAATACTTATCAAAGCATTAATATATACAAAGCATTAAAAGACACTAAGGAAGCTGATAGAAGGTAAATCATATCATAAAGAGCAGCTTAGAGAACAGAAAGAATAATTTTAAGAATTGTGGGGTAGATCTGAGGAGAGAGGGAAGGAAAGCCAAACAAAAATGAGTGAATTCGATAAAATTCCTGCAATAAGCTCAAATTGAAAGAATTAATGCTAGATTTAAGGTATGGAGCCATCAAAAGGATTTAAATTGTTTACCTCATTTTCTGTGCCCACATCCAGAATGACAGGCAGACATTCTTGAGGATTCACCCCTCCACAAGCTGTATACAGAGCCAGTTTACCCACAGGGATGCCCATGCCATTACAACCCAGGTCTCCCAAGCCAAGAATACGCTCTCCGTCAGTCACCACAATAGCCTAGAAGAAAAAGAAAAGAGAAAGACCCATTAATAGACTTTGCAAATTCTCAGAAACAATTTGCCTCTATTTCTGAAGTTGATACACATATCAAATATTAAGCTGTTAAAAACTTAACTTGTATATACATGCAAAAAATTTTATGATCATTACTGTGGAAGAATGGAGAGAAGAAACAAATTTGATTTTTATACACATTTGAAACACGTAAAAATAAATATATACTTAATGAGGCTATTTTTCAAAAGAAATGAAAATGTATAGAGAGATTCAAACAACCCAAACAATTTAACTTCCATAAAGAGGTACAAGTGAAAAAAGTAAAGAAAAATGAGCTCAAACCTGGAACCCAAGATAAACTTAGGGGACCTTTGAGACTAGTCAAATCCACTTTGAGTACAATTACAAGGGTGCTCCTCACTAAATTTGACTGGACTAAGGCTATAATTCTGCCTCAAAATGCTCTCTGTTAGTTGATGCATCCTGGCACCAACCTCCTATTTTCCACAATAATTTTAACACATTGTCTTTAACTCCTATAATCACTTGGCATATTTTTCTTTTTTTAAAATTTTATTTATTTATTGGCATATTTTTTTACCATCTTTAAAACATGCCCATACAGTATGCTACTTCTTGCCTGATAATCTTCCACTAGACTTAAGGAATTTTGTTTAGTTATTTCTAATCGCTATGGATATTTATGAAGGATACGTTTTAATCATATGAAGATTCTATTCCATGTAATGTAATATCATAATTGGAACCTTAAACCATTTCAGTTATTTGACCCTGGATAAAGCAATGAATTTAAGCTCCTGTTTTTTATTTGTAAAATTAGAATAATCAATGTCCTTCTAAGCATAGCTATATAAAACTAGGAATCAGCTCTGTTTTGCTCACCACTGTACACCAGAACCTAGCACAGTATTTGGCACATAGTAAACAATCAATTAATATTAGTCAATTGAATAAATCTATAACACCATAAAACAAAATAATTACATATAAAGAACTTATCACTGTACCTGGAACATTACAAATTCTTTTAAAATGTATAGTTAGGGGCCAGCACTGGAGCATAGAAGGTAAAGCCACTGCCTGTAGAGCCAGCATCCTGTATGGGTGCCAGTTTGAGTCCTGGCTGCTCCACTTTCGATCCAGCTCTCTGTTATGGCCTGAGAAAGCAGTAGAAGATGGCCCAAGTCCTTGGGCCCCTGTACCCACACGGGAGACCCAGAAGAAGCCCCTGGCTTCTGGCTTCAGACCAGCACAGCTCTGGGTGTTGCAGCCATTTGGGAAGTAAACCAGAGGATGGAAGACCTCTTTCTCTCTGCCTCTGCTTCTCTGGAACTCTGCCTTTCAAATAAATATATAAATCTTTAAAAGAAGTTATTATTGCTACTATTATTATTATCAGAACTAATGTACAGAACCAACATTTAAAAAAAAATTTTTATTTCATTATTTTCATACTATTTGAAAGGCAAAGAGACAGAAAACGAGATATATCTTCCATCTCCTGGTTCATTCCCCAGATATTCACAACAGCTGGGGCTGAACCAGGCTGAAGCCAGGATTCCAGAACTCAATCTGGGTTTTCCATGTGGATCCCAGGTGTCCAAGCACTTGAGCCATCACTTGCTACTTCCCAAGATGCATTAGAAGGAAGCTGGCTCAGCAGCAGAAAGGGACTCAAACCCAAGTACTCAGATATGGATGCAGGTATCTCAAAGTGGTATCTTAACCAATATACCAAACATCTTCCCCTACACCCAACATTTTAGAAAGAAAGATGAATCTAGAGTATATTCAGTCCACCATTCTTACTTCATAGATAAGGAAACTGAATATCACAGAAAATAATTTCCCTAAAGTCATTACTGGTTAGTATTAAAAAACCAGAACCTGGATATGTTAATTCCTAGTACAATGACAATATTACACCATACATTTAAAATTTATACTTTTCCTTTAATTTCCTTTTAACCTATGCTATGCAGCTCTTAAAAATTCACTTAAAAGTACCCACAATTGAGAGGTAAGTGAAAATTATTTGTGTATATTCCACATAGCTCATCTTTGGAATATTTTCCATGTCTAATTTCAATGGTTCAGTATGCTATGCTATTTGAAGAGGAAACCTGATACTACTGTATTAACTTAGCTCCAATTTAAGACAGAAAAATAAACAAATACTACAGATGACTATAATGTTGTTTCTTAAATTGAAGTCAAGTTTTCAAATGTACATTTAATAAACATGGTTTTATTTGCTGCTTTACTATGAATAGAATTACTTATATACATCATTCATATCTATACTTTTGTGAATGTGCTCCCTACACAGGGAAAGTCCAAATGGCCTGGCTATACTTAAATATTTTTATGATATATTTTATAAGAAAAATAACATTGTCATGAAGTTAGATGATATCTGAACAATTTATATGATGCTTTCCAGATTTCACTGAAGGTAATTAAAACCAAAGAGTTGATTGTTGTAAGTTTCATAAGTTTCAAGCTTCTATAAAAAGATGTTTAAAATAGTACATAATTTCATTTATTTTGAAAGCATATATATTAAGTAAATACATGCCTGAATTAATTTCATTTCTTCTCACAATATTTAAAAATATTGAAAGGGAGGAAAACTCCTTCTATGAAACCAGTGTCACCTTATTCCAAAACCAAAAAAAGATACAACAAAGAAGGAGAACTATAGACCACTATGTCCTATGAACACTGATGCAAAAATCCTCAACAAAATACTAGAATAGAATAGAATCCAACAACACATCAGAAAGATCCTCACCACACAAAGTAGGATTCATCCCTAGTATTCAGGGACAGTTTAACATACAGAAATCAATCAATGAGATACATTACATCAACAAACTGATGAATAAAAATCATATGATTATCTCAACAGATGCAGAGAAAGCATTTGATAAAATACAGCATCTTTTAATGATGAAAACGTTAAACAAATTAGTTATAGAAGGAATATCCATCAACACAATCAAGGCAATTTATGACAAACTCACAGCCAGCATCTTACTGAATGGAGAAATTTGGAAGCTTTTCTACTAAGATCCAGAAGCAGACAAGGATGCCTACTCTCACCATTGCCATTCAATATAGCCCTGGAAGCTTGAGCCAGTGCCTCTAGGCAAGAAAAAAAAAATCAAAGGATATAAATTGGAAAGGAGGAAGTTAAATTACTCCTGTTTGCAGATGACAAGATTCCATACATAGGGGAACCAAAAGAATCCACTAAGAGACTATTGGAACTCATAAAGGAGTTTGGCAAAGTGGTAGGATATAAAAGTAACATACAAAAATCAATATAGCCAGTGCCACAGCTCACTTGGCTAATCCTCCGCCTGTGGCGCCGGCATCCAGGGTTCTAGTCCTGGTTGGGGTGCCGGATCCTGTCCCGGTTGCTCCTCTTCCAGTCCAGCTCTCTGCTGTGGCCTGGGAAGGCAGTGGAGAATGGCCCAAGTGCTTGGGCCCTGCACCCACATGGGAGACCAGGAGGAAGAACCTGGCTCCTGGCTTCAGATCGGTGCAGCGTGCAGGCTGTAGCGGCCATTTGGGGGTGAACCAATAGCAAAGGAAGACCTTTCTCTCTGTCTTTCTCTCTGTCTACTCTGCCTGTCAAAAAATTTTTTTAAAAATCAATAGAATTGTATGCAAACTCTATTCTCATGTGATGGCTGAAAAAGAACTTGTAAGATAAGTCCCATTCACAATAGCTACAAAAAATTTAAATATCTTAGAATAAATTTAACGAAGTAAGTGAAATTTATCTACAGTGAAAATTACAAAACACTAAAGAAAGAAACAGAAGACACAAAAATGTAAAAAATCACCAATGTTTGTGGATTGAAATAATATCATCAAAATGTTGATATTACTTAAAGCAATTTATAGATTGAATGCAATCTCAATCAAAAAAACAACATAATTCTAAAATATAGAAAAAATGATGCTAAAATTCATATGTAAACACAAGAGACCCCAAATACCTAAAGCTATCTTAAACAACAAAAACAAAGCTGGAGGCATCACAATATCGGCTTTCAAGACATACTGTAAGGCAGTTATAATCAAAACATCCTGGTACTGGCATAAAAACAGAGGTGTAGAACTGAACAGAAGAAAACTCCAGAAATCAATCTATGCATCTACAACCAACTAATCTTTGACAAAGGAGCTAAAATCAACCCCTGGAGAAAGGCAGTCACTTCAACAAGTGGTGCTGGGAAAACTGGATCTCTGCATGCAGAAGTATGAAACAAGATCCCTTCTACCTTACACCTGACACAAAAATCCATTCAAAATGGTTCAAGCATCTAAATCTATAATCTGATACTATCAAATTACTAGAGGAGAACACTGGGGAAACTCTGCAAGACATTGGCATAGACAAGGACTTCTTGGAAAACACCCCAGAAGCACAGGCCATCAAAGCCAAAATTGACAAACAGGATTTTATCAAGCTAAGAGGCTTCTGCACTACAAAGGAAACACTTAGCAAAGTGAAGAGGGAACCAACGGAATGGGAGAAAGTATTTGTAGAGTGTGCAACTGATAAAGGATTAATATCCAGAATCCATAAAGAGCTCAAGAAACTCAACAACTACAAAATAACAATACAGTTAAGAAATGGGCAAAGGACTTGAACAGCCATTTTTCAAAAGAGGAAATTCAAATGGCCACAGACACATGAAAAAATGCTTGGATTACTAGCCATCAAAGAAATGTAAATCAAAACCACAAAGAGGTTTCACCTCACCCCAGTTAAATTGGCTCTCATAGAGACGACAAAAACACAGTAAATGCAGGTAAGGAAGTGGGGAAAAAGGTTCCCTAATCTGCTGTTGGTTGGAAAGTAAAATGGTATAGCCATTGTGGAAGACAACATGGTGATACCTCAGGAAGCTGAAAACAGATATAACATAACGCAGCCATTCCACTCCTGGAAAATTACCCAA